TTGACTTTTGTCTAATTGACAGGCTTTATTTTTCTTATATATTATAATTGGATTAGAAATCAAATACACTGCTGGATTGTGACGAGTCAGTAGCTTGAGGATCCATCTGGAGTTTATTAGACAAAAGCAGTACAAGGCAGGGCAGTAAACAGTAGTAGTATAGGATAACCAACAGTAGACGTAATCCAGGGAATCCAGGGCAGAGAATCGGGGCCGGCGGCGAGCAAACACAGAATCGGGGCTGGCAGCAAGAATCAGAAAACGAGATAAACAGTCCAGGTCAATACACAGGCAGGTAGAATAACAGAAAACGCTCAGAAATGATCACCGGGGCAAATCAAGACTTCGCACTGAAGAGCAGATAAGAATGCCTTAAATAGGTGTGTGAGTGTGTGAGATAATTGACGACAGGTGCAGGGTGATCAGTTCCAGGTATGAAGGCTGATGGGAAATTGAGTCCGAATGAGGTGGTTAATACTCGGGTGAAGGCTCCCTCTGGTGGTGCGAGAGACGTAGTGCGGGAGCCTCATTTGTGACATGGATGATAACCAATAATTTGTATTCTATAATATTTTTTCTGTATTTTCCTAATGACAATTTTAGAATTGCTTTATACAAACATAATAAGGCAGAATAGTTTCTATACTGTATTAAATTTAATGTCAAATAGCACTGCATTATTCATTTACTATATTTATTTCCTCGAAATTACCTTTTTTAGCTACAGCAATAGCTGGATGCCTTTGTCCATATTAGAGATTTCCTGCACGTCATAAGTAATCACTTCTACTAGGCCATTTTGGACTTTCTGCGCTAGAGCGCCCTCCGGCTTTAAATATGAATGAAACATGCACTGCATGAGAGTGTTTAGCGCTCTGTAATGTTCATATGGTCTCGTTTTGGATATGAATAAATCGTCCGGTCATACATAGACTATCTTGTTTCTTCGCCCATGTGCTCACACATCCACACAGAAAAAGGGATTTTAAATGCATCTGATTGACAGATAAATCATGGTTGATCTATCAGTCAGATGCACATAAAATGCATGCACTCTTATTTCATTGTTGTTGCTAATGTTGAGGTTATTTTAGCTTCGTACATTTAGTTTAACTGCACTGTTAAAGAGGGCGATTTTCACCATTCAACTGAACTATGTGCATGTATTTATGATACTGTATATGACCACGATATGAGAATTTATTTCATGATATCTAAATTATATATATACTATATATTATATTATATATACACACACACATAATTATTTATTATATTAAAAATAAAGAAGCAAATTACAAACCATAAGACAAATACAATAGATACAAATTAAATATTAAATTAACTCGTTTTTCTAATACAGTAGGTTTAACATGTATACATTTATTTAACATATTTTTTTGTTTGATTAACATTAAAGGCAGGGTAAGCGATTTCTGGTAGCCAATGTTGATATTTGAAATCACCAAAACA